GCAGGTTGTAGTTGGTTAATTGATAGATTATTTAGTGTGCAGATTTGTGTGTGTGTGTGTGTGTGTGTGTGTGTGTGTGTGTGTGTGTGTGTGTGTGTGTGTGTGTGTGTGTGTGTGTGTGTGTGTGTGTGTGTGTGTCATGAGCATGAGCAGGCAAGAGCCTATTTGTAAAGTTAATTAGAATCAGAATATGGGCATGAAGTCGGAAAAAGTAAAGCAAAGTGGACTAGACCAGGAAAAGGAACGTGGGGTAAAAGTTTCCCGTGAAACAGAATTAGTTCTAAACTTTATCTAATGAGATAAATATCCAATGAGGTAAAGATAAACGTTATCTAATGAGGCTTTTATTCTTTGAATATCAATTTCCAGGGCTTATTGTTTATACGAAGTTACCCGAAGTCCAAGTGTATTTTCGAAGCATCTGCAGATAAAATATTACTGTAAGTAATGCGGCCGCGACACCTGTTACACCTTTTAACAGTGGTAGAGCCACGCGGCAGCTTTTGCTGTCGCACGGATGGACCGGCTCGAACCGGGGTGGTACACGACCTCACAGAAAACCAGCGTGAACTAGAGGTGTACCTCTGCGTTTCGCTTGGTGAGTGCAGGTGGCCGGAGGCCCTTTTTACTGGAAATGAGGCATTCCATCTTAGTCCTCACGGGTGACAACGCATCTACATTTTGATTTGTAATAGAGGATAGATGTAGATGTCTATGGGCCGCAGCAACCACTTACCATCAGGTGGAATGTGTGCTCGTTTGTCACCCTTATCCTATAAAAAAAAACACTGAGTACCTATGCACACAGGGCCGCGGCCGCAGTATAAACCAGTGCAAAAATATCGGTATTTCACAAAATATATAGGTACATATAATATCTAATAACTAAGATCCGAAGATTAGTTCTAAATAAGTTTTGTAATTATCAGTTGTTGTAAGCCATTGACTTAATGCATAGCTATGCTGGTAACACTTAATAAAGCGAAATATTTCAGTAAAACGTAAGTTAGCAGCATTTTAACAGTTTCCATACTGCTGCGTAATGCGAAGAATTATAAATGTTTTTAACGTGTATTTAAAAGTAATAAAACCATTCCAAAATTTTTGTAAATTTGATAGCGATACTGAGCCCCATAGCCACTTGAGCAATAATCGAAAGAATATACACGACAAAATTAAAGTTTAACATCACTGCCATATTTGTAATGGGTAAAGATAGGATAAAATTCACCCGATCTTCACCCGCATGGGGAAACATCGGATCTCGGCCTACAGCAATCTTAGCCCTGTTTAGATCTGTTTTATCTGGCTATAACTTTATAAACCTTTGTATTCAGACAAAATAATAACAATAGAAGATATATTCACACTTAAAATCACAAACAAAAGTGATAGGGAAAGACCGGATGATGAAATAAAACACAAACATTATCTTGTTTTATAAATTGACGCGCAAAACGTGTCCTACTTCCCGGAGCGAATAGCGGGAACTTGGGGTCGGGGCAGAATGAAATGGCGTCAAGCACCAATTATTGCTAGTATTTAAAAATATAACAAAATTCGCCGGAAATTTGAATCTTACGGTCTTAATTCATCACCGATCTTACCCCAACGCACCTTGCATCTTTCATACTGTAGTCCGTTGCAGGTCTGGATATTTAATGCCAGACGGCATTTGAGATGGTGTTAGCGCCATCTATCGGACATTATAAGATTTTTCTGACATTTTCCAAACAACACTTTTGTATTTAAAATATGAAGGTGAAATCTTATTTCCGATTAAAACTGATTATTTTCGATTAAAACTGATTACTTTTACAGCGAGTCCCGCTCCTTCCGCTCACAGAACATAAGTTTTTTAAGCCTCATTCCAAAATTTCATTGCAATTTTTCCGTAAATCCGTGCAGTAAGGTTGGCAAATCTACTAAGTTAATGAGCAGTTAATATTATAACTGAATCCATTGTGAAATTTAAGAATTACATCTTCATTATTAAAACGAATACCTACAATAAAGTGTTGTTACCTGGAAGGGATAGTACTTAAGTTAAGAAAGTTGGAAAGCATAATATCCAACCATGATCATAAGACTACAAGTAAGCGGCTGAACATCAAAGGCCTTTCCGAAAATGCACAACTGATATGTATGTTCAGAAAGAATAGCTCGTATTCAGATCACTGAACAGTCTTACTTTATCCATACCTTACATTACTACAAGCGACAGCTGCAGCCTAATGGTTAACCGCAAATTTGCAATAGGTAACATGGCATGGGTTCGAATCATTCGCCATTCGACTCCTGTCGTGTCGTTAGGAGTTGCCTAATACAAACATTTTACGCTTATTTAGAGTGGTTACCTGGAGAATTAGTGATGTTAACAGCGTTACTAATATACTTCTCATTAAAAATCCTTATCATTTTTGTAGAATTTCCTACCTTCATTCAGTCGTCAGAATAGACCCGGCAGCACATTAACCGGCAGAACCTTGGCTGTCACTTAGCAGAATGAGAGATCAATTGTTCATATTAAATTTCCTGTACACCGCCAAGTCGTTTAACATTAGTTACAATATTTTAGTGCAGGCTTTCTTACATAGGTGGCGCTTTTATACAATTTGTATTGCTAAAGTAATCAGATCTTTAAGGATTTTATAGCTATTTGGCAAAGGTAATAATATATATAGATATATTATAATTTTCAAGTCAATTGAATATTTAATTAAATCTCTACAGTTTAATAAGAACGGCCATTCCTACCCTAATGAGGATTCCTACCCTACTATGGGAGGCCACAAAGCACGCACCTGCATCTGTCCTTATTAACGGCTATGACTATTATAATATTTCAGGTCTATATTGTCAATTTTAAGATGCCGTTAAGTCTCATGCTGTCTCTATTACTTTAAGTCAAAGTGAGTGAGACAATGATCTCTTAAAATTCTTAAAATTGAGTAGCGTTTGAGTATTTGGCCTATAATATAATTTATGGTAAAATATCATAATACCCATTTGAGTACAGTAATTTAAAATTGAAATGATTTTATTGGGTAATATATATGAATTTTGATGATACTTTTTATTATATTTTAAATAGAGAGTTTTACCATAAAATAAAACTTACCTATTATTTTTTAATCAATATCCGGAATCCATCTTGAGTCAAGCACTAGTCTTTCCGCCTAAAGTCAGCACTTCCGGCTACCTTACCTGCCTGGAGGGGGCACCTCACCACTGTTTTTGCTTTGTTATTTAAGCAGTGATGAGCACCAGGTCTCGTCATTATGATACTCATGATGCACCAGGTAGCCCTTACCTGGATTCCGGATATTGATTAAAAAATAATAGGTAAGTTTTATTTTATGGTAAAACTCTCTATTATTTGTTATGTATCAATATCCGGAATCCATCTTGAGTGACGTGTTTGTTATCACCTGGTGCTAATAATTTGTTATAGTTATTAACGCTATAATGTGTAAGGTAAACAATAAAAGAATGATTGCAAGAGATACACAGCAAACAAAAATTATATATTATACCACAATTACATTATTTGAATATAAATGACAATAATTTTTGCTTTTATCAATTACAATAATAAATACAACGAATATATTTGCTCTATCAATCAATTAATGGCATCAGAATAATTTGATAAAGATACAGAATTATTTATGTCAATTTCCTTTAGTTCTTTTTTATAGTAATTTTGAAAAGTATGTACAGTTTTCCAATTACCAGTCTCAAGGATTTTATCTAGAGAAAAATTTTCTAACCAATTTAAGGAAGATACTGCTGATCTTACTGAACCAGGAGTAGCTTTAATACCCGCCTCTCTCAGAAGCGATTTTATCCACCCAGCAATTACAGTACGGGATGCTGGCTTAGCGTCACCTCTAGCTGTAATAAATAAATGATTTATAGCCTTTCTGCGATTTTTAGATATCTTTAGTAACTGTCTTATCCAGAAAATAATATTCAAATTTTTGTCAGGATGTTCTTTAAGCCTCCAACCAGACTGTCTATGATTAATGCTGTCCGTTTTGGAACCAAAAGCTGGCCATAAGATTATGCTACTTTGGTCGTCTATTAAACTGTTATTGTCAATATGTAACAAAGTGAGGTCATGAACTCTCCGACTAGAAGCCAATAGTAATAATGTAGCAGTATGCCTAGATACTTCATACAGATTGTTTTCATTTGGATTATATTTACTTATATACTGCATAAGAAATTTAGGATTCCAAATTGGTGGCTTAACTGGTCTGGTACGGGCCATAGATATTGCTTTTAACATATGTTTTATAAAGAAATTTGAAGATAAATCTACTTTTGAAGTTAAGTGAGTGAATGTTGAAATCACAGATTTATGTACTAAAATTGTTCTGTAAGCAAGACCTATATCACAATGTAAATGTGCCAGATAACGGGCTACTTGTTCTGGGTGAGGATATTTATAATTAACCGAATTAGACTCGCACCATTTTTTCCATCTGTTCCATGCAGGTTTATATGTGTTGATCGTAGAGACTCGCCAACTTGATATTAACAATTTCTGTTCTTTATCTGTCCATTCTGTTAACACATCTTGCCACCCAAAATCAACCATGCTTCCAAGAGCAAGTCTTGAATCTGTGGAGGGTGTATGCCTGTTCTCGTGTCTACTAGAGTGTGGACTAGATCTCGAATCCGATAAGGGGGGTGCAGAGCTCGGCGTTGAACATCTGCTTGCCAAAACACCTTGTTCCATTTCGGGGCAATTAATATATTTAGTCCGCTGGCTTGATTCAAATGGTTTATGACTCTGGGAATAAGATTGGGTGGTGGGAATAACCATGCTAGTTTGTAGTGCCACTGGTGACAAAACGCGTTGTGGTGTTGAGCTTGCTTGTCCTGAATGTTCACTGAAACATACTTCGGGGTCACGTGAGCAGTACTCGACGCAAATAGGTCTATCTCCGGCGTGCCCCACATTCGAAATATTTTGGATGTCGCCGCTGTTGTTAGGTGTCACTCGGGGCAAGTCCTTTGGCGTGATAAGGCGTCCACTTCGACATTGAATCTGGAAAGTACTGGGCCTGAAGGTGTATATTGAATTTGTCTAGAAGTGCAAGTAGTTGTAGAGTTTGCTCGAGAAGCTTTTTGGACTTGCTTCCGCCTTCCTTGTTTATGTAAGACACCACTGTTCGATTGTCCGTCTGAAGAAGCACTTGTGAGTTCTGTAGCAGTTTTTGTTCGTGTGATATCGCTGCCTGAACTGCGAACATTTCTTTTCTGTTTGCGTGCCAGGTTAGTTGCCGTTTCGTCCAGGTCCCTCCGATACTTATATCGCCGAGTTGCGCGCCCCAGCCGATGTCTGAAGCATCGGTTGTTAGAAGGTGAGTTAGTACTACATTCGTGTGTATCGGTACAGATTGACCTACAGCTTGTAGCCACCATTCCATCTCCGATTGAACTGGTAGTGGAATACTCACTTGGCGGTAAGGGTGGTCCTTTGACAACTGTCGACTGAAGTATTGCAGTGTTCGACAGTGAAGCCGACCTCTCCGGGTTACGTAAGTGGCAAAATTGAGTCTCCGCATTAAGATCTGATACTGTTTGAGGGACCACTTGCGTTTTAAGAGCTGTTGCTGAAGTGCGTTGCGTAGCGTTAAGCACTTTTTCTCCGATAAGGACATTGCATTGAGTTTTGTGTCCCATGTTATGCCGAGAAACTCGAGGCACTGTGTCGGAGTCAGCACGGACTTTTCGAAATTTATTGTCCAACCCAGTAACTGCATGATCTTTATCGTTAAAGATATATCTTCTTGTAGTTGTTGCATCGACTGGCTTGCCAATAGAAAATCGTCCAAATAAACTACACATCTGATGCCCCGATTCCTGAGAAACTCTGCTACCCAGTTTGTTATTGAGGCAAACGTTCTCGGCGCAGAGGAAAGGCCAAACGGTAAACAGGTCATCTGAAGCAGTTGGTGCTGGTTTGAATTGATGGGATAATTCAGCCTCAAATATCTTCGATGACGCCGAGCAATCGGAACGTGAAAGTAGGCTTGGCTTAGGTCTAATTTTGCCATCCAATCCTGATGCTGCAGAAAGGTGGGTACTCGAAAGTGACTGAACAGTCTGAAGGGTTTCGTTTTAACGAACCTGTTCAGTTGTTTCAAATTCAATATTGGACGGTAGCTGCCGTCTGGTTTTGGCACTAAAAAGAATGTGGAAAGGAAGCTGGCACTCGGCTCCGCCTGTTCGAGTACTCCGGACTTTAACATACTTTGAATTTGGCGAATCATATTTAAGGAAGTTTTGGTCCTGTAACTCTGAATCACAATTGGATTTGGAAGTATTAGAGGTGGCTTGAGTTTGAATGGGATGTATGAGCCGTTTAATAGTCTGCATATTTGTTCCGGCGCGCCTAAATTGCTCATAACACATTGAAATTGTTTTAGACAGCCGCCATGAAATTTTTGAGAGTCATTTACGACGATCATCTTTAAAGGAAAAATGCGATTGCGATTTCTTTCCTCTTTGTCTATTTTTGCCCGATTTATCTCGATTTGTTTGGTTGGATAGGCGGAGTGCTCGTTTTCCTCTTTTCGAGGGATTGTTTCGATGAAAAAATGTATCATCAGCTTGTTTACTAGTCGATGGCTTTTGATTTTCATAAAATTATTTTTGAGTACGAGGCATTGATCGGGATGAAGTGATTAATTTATCTGGCCCTCCAATTTTCTGAAGGTAGGTCTGTATGGAATCGTCGTTAAACAGAGTTTCTACGTTAGGAGGGATTTTTTGCAAAACCTCGCGATGATATTCTTCAGGAATTTGTCGAAGTAATGAACCACGGCGGAAGCTAATTAGATCCGCTCGTCTACCACAAACTATTTGAAACAAATCTTCAGTTACTTTGCTATATGATGATTCTTAAGAAAATAACTCTCCTATTTTATCAAATAATAAATTTGGAGTCAATGTTTGTCGAGAATCACTGGCCGAATCTACTAGTGCTTGTAATGCTCTTTGTAATTCCTCTTTTTGTAAGGAGTTCGGCCGGCGAAATCCGGCGAAAGAACGTTCTAGCAAATAAGATCGAGGATCATCGCGCAACATTGCAGTTTCAAATCGTTTTAATGAATCATTTACGGCAAGTTCGACAAAACCGGGGGTAGATAAATATTTCTTCTGGGCATCGATAAACCGTACAGCATACCAATCATCACAATTAAAACGCTGTAATTCTACTAATTTCTTTAAATGTATTTCATTTGCACGTGGATAAATGGGATCTTTAACCGTGGTACTCAAATCTGATAGCTTGAGCTGGTTTATTTTGTCCCCGCCTTCTGTTGTAGGTCGATGCAAGTTAAGATTAAGTGAAGGGACTATTTTTTGGTTTTGGCATGTAACTTCACTCGATTTTGTAATAATATTAGTTAAAAAGGCCACTTGCTGGGATAAAAATTCTAAATGTTCTTTACTCACGGTTTGATCCATTCTCCTTTTCTTGTGTCTCCTTGTTTGACTGTAAACACTGCTTTTTGACGAATCACTGCTATCCGAACTCGACGATGAAGTACGCACACGTTTTTGAGAATTTAATAATGTAACTTCGTCGACACTTTGTTCCTCCATAATTTTTTCAGTAGGGTAGCTATTTTTTAATTTTAGAAAAAAAAAATTGAAACTTTTTGTGCTTACGAAAGGCTGACTTGTGAATGGCGCGAAAAACAACGCTATAATGACGAGACCTGGTGCTCATCACTGCTTAAATAACAAAGCAAAAACAGTGGTGAGGTGCCCCCTCCAGGCAGGTAAGGTAGCCGGAAGTGCTGACTTTAGGCGGAAAGACTAGTGCTTGACTCAAGATGGATTCCGGATATTGATACATAACAAATAATAAAAAATTATTTTAATCACGATAATAGTCTGATTTTTAATTTTGAACGTGATGACAACCGCCTCCGTGGCGCAATCGGCTAGCGCGTTCGGCTGTTAACCGAAAGGTTGGTGGTTCGAGCCCACCCGGGGGCGATCATTTTTTGAAGATATTATTTAATAATAGAAGGAATGACCTTCTTTCTAATTTTTAATAGTGTTTAGATGTCACCTAAACTAAAAACCAGGCCTCTTCTTACCAGCGTCGGACTAGTCGTGAATACAGTTCACAAAGAGTATGGAATAATTCCTATAGAAACTTCACACGTGGTACCGAACAGCATTGGTACAAATTCATATTTATCACGGCTTCACATTTAATAATTTAGTGAAACACAAGTAAAACATTATAATATTTAAAACTTATTTATATACAGCATTGGTAGTAATATTTCAAACTCTATGTCACAACCTTCGATAGCTCAGTTGGTAGAGCGGTGGACTGTAGAGTAATACGAATATTGTCATCCATAGGTCGCTGGTTCAAATCCGGCTCGAAGGAACTTTTTGCCTTTTATTTTTTTCAAACGTTTGATTATAGGATCCTTATTTTTTTTTAACAATACGGTTTGCTTCGTCTTTTGTAATACGTAGAGCAAAGGAGTGGAATAATTTGCTAGCGTCTATCTTTCCGTCCGAATACAATCTGGGCGTCTTTAAGGCAAGATTGAATAGGCTTTTGTTACGCTAAGACCATCGATCACCAATAAAAAACTAGTTACACAATCAGTGACAAAAATGTCCTTACCGAATGAGGGTAAAAACTCGAATATTTGGGTGCTGTTTTAATTTGTACATAGCTTTGTGAATACAACTTTAGCCAATGCAGTTAAGGTTGAATTTACATTAATGTATATTTATTTCAATTAGCATTACGTCCAAACAATTGGCGACAGTTTTTAGAGAACTTTTGCATGGAATTGTGTATCTAGTTTTTTATTAGTGATCGATGGCTAAGACAGTGCGATTTACCATCTAGGGCTGCATCACCACTTACCACCAGAAGGGATTGTGGTCAAGCACTGGCTTATAATAAGTAAAAAAATAATATATACACATATAATTATAGTTGATGTTTAGTTTTTAGTCTTCTTTTTTAACAAGACAGAAGAGAAAATTTTGCAAGTAAACTTTGTTGATTTTGCTATGGGGTTTATTTAAAACTAGTTTTCAGGACTGAACATTAGCCCAGCAGTAGACCAGTGACCGCGTTATCAAAATTAGTAGTTGTTACTGAGTAATCTTAGTTGTGTTAGTATTAAGTTGTATAAGTTATAGCAAATTCTAAATAAAACTCTCTGTCAACGCTGGAACACAACTTCGTTATTTTCGCAGAGACTCCCGGTAAACCTGGTCTTCCTGCGGCCAAGATTCTTTCAACCGTCAGAACCCCTGATCAGTCTTGTGAATCTACTTAACTGGCAGTGAGAAAACTCCATCACTTAAACCCTGACATCCTGTCTCTGTCCGTTTGTTACGAGTATCTTGGGTCTCATGGTACAGACAACCCGCACTTTTGTATTTTATTTATGTATATTTATATGGTAGGATATTAGGGACTGCTAGGGACGGCATTGCACGGGTGCATTGCATTGGCTTGCGATTTGATGTAAAATAGCTGCATTATAGATATTATTGAGTTATTGAGATTTGAAAAGTGTAATTTTTATCATTCGTTGAATCCCTCATCTAAAACCTAGGTAACTTCTAGGTTATTACAAGCTTTAAATTTGGCATCAAGGTAGATCATTAGACGTATACAAAGGAAAAAATCTAAAAACTGCATATTATCTTCTTTCTTTCGATTTCGACAAAGTTATAATAATAATAGTAATCTTTATTTTCCATTTATATATATATATATATATATATCAGTTAACAATATGTCTATTTATAAACTACAAAGGAATATTTAATCTTATAACATGAAAAATAGCATTCATTGCCGAACTAGGCCAAAACCTGTATTTCAGCATATGGCGCCACTCCCCAGACATAATAAATATAAATTATTTATTAAAATTATGGAAAATTTACAAAACTTTGTTCTTTATATTACATATGTGGTATAAAAAAATGTAAAATAGAGAAAAAAATATAAAATGTAAAATTTTAAAGTTATTTGTATATTTTTGATTTTTTATTTGAATTTAAATTATAAAACAGTGTAATGTAAACTTTTTTTATCCCGATAAATGACCCTCAACATTATTTATTGCGAATTTAAGGATTTTTATGGGAAGGGTCGTTGGAAAGGGCAGAACAACGTCTGCCTGGCTAGCTAGTATATATGTACGGTACTTATACGAGGGTGACACTGAAAGTTGTTATTTTAAGTTATTAGTTTTATTATATCTTTTCAAAATAGTGTCCATTTACATCAAACATCGCTGCATCCGATGGCATCATTGAGAAAAGCACTTTGCCCACTCGTCCTTAGGGGTCTCTTCGACGGCATTTTGAAACGCAGCCACTGCTTCCTCGGCGTCCATAAAACGTTTTCCTCGAAGATTTTCTTTTATTTTCGGAAATAGCTATAGGGCGGGTGACCTAGTAATTCCACATCTGATGTCACCAAGTAGTCGATTGCTTGCTTTCCGTATATACTAGGCGTATATTTCTAGTAGCAGTCATCAAAGTACACTTTCAAGTTACTCTGTCAAGTCCGGAGGTAAGGTCTCACCATAACTAACAAAACGAGGCCAAGGTCGGCACATCTAGTTCTCCTCGTCGAGGAGTTCCAGTAACAGTCATCAAAATACACTACTTTCAAGTCACTCTATCAAATCCGGAGATAAGGTCTCATCATAACTAACAAAACGAGCCCAAACTCGGCACATCTAGTTCTCCTCGTCGAGGAGTTCCAGTAGCAGATACCGACACACCTTCAGGTCTATAAAGTCCAAGATGTATAAGTATTTAAATATATTTATATCTAAATTCTGCGTGCTTTTAGCGAAACAAAATATTGTAATAAAAATCTGTGATTGTAAAATAATAATAATATCTTACCTTGGTCAAGTATGTATCAAATTTGGTTTTTGGAATATTTGACCATATTTTGACCACATGATAGATGAAGAGTTTTAAAAATAGATTGAGTTGAACAATAGATATTTTCAAAAGTTATCGTGTTTACGCCGCCATGCGTATTTGATAAATCCACACCATAAGCCACTAAAACCCCTTTTTATTTAAAAATAGTAATTAATCGATTTAAAAATATTAATAAGTTCTACAATCAGTTATCGTTTTGACAATGTGCTTTTTATATCATTTATATGTATAATATGATTGAAAATTTTGGAATCTTAGTTTTTACGTCATAGCAGAACATACCTGTGCGCTTTGCGCATAACGCATGCAAAAGAAAGAAAACAGAAGAAGCAGTCTAATCTACAGGTTTATTTACAGATCTCAAATTAAATTATTATGTAAATAAATCAAAATGAAATCCAGAGCAACACTTACTTAAAAGGTAAACCTTAAAATATTAAAGGGATAACAAGAATTACACTTACGCTAAGTTTAAACGATGTTCGTTACAGCTGTCACTTTTGATTGGAACACTAAACACAATTTAATTAAAATACTTACATATGACTTTTACTTATTTTAAAAATACAAATAAGTCGTATTTAACTACTGTAACTGTAAATTGAGGTGGTTATTATCAATTTAAAATATTTAATTT